ATGTTATTTCTCTCTTTTACAGTATATTTTCTTTCTTTCTTCCTTTCTTTCTTTCTTTCTTTCTTTCTTTCTTTAATTGTCACTCCTCCCTTTCACAACTTAATTTATTTATTTCTTTATTAAGATTTTTTCTGTTTAATATCTAACCACTTTCATTTTCTCTCGTTCTTGTTTTCTTTCTTTTTCTTTCATTCTTTTTTCTTTCTCTTTTTACTTTCTTTCTTTTTATATTCTTTCCTTCTTTTATCTTTCTTTTTTCTTTCTTTATTTTCTTTTCTTTTTCTTTCTTTCTTTCCCTCCTACAGTTTCTTTTCTTTCTTTCTTTTATCTTAATTTCTTTCTTTTTTCTTACATTCTCCTTTTTTCTATCTTTCTTTTTCTTTCTTTCTTTCTTTTTCTTTCTTCCTTTTTCTTTCTTTCTTTTTCTTTCTTTCTTTTTCTTTCTTTCTTTCTTTTTCTTTCTTCCTTTTTCTTTCTTCCTTTTTCTTTCTTTCTTTCTTTTTCTTTCTTCCTTTTTCTTTCTTTCTTTTTCTTTCTTTCTTTCTTATATTTTTGAAAACAACACTAACTTTATTTTCTTATTATCTCTTCTTACGCCCCCCCCCATTTTATTTAGTATGGCGTTTTTTAGTTTTTCCCTTCTTCACTCAATGAAATACTTTAGTAAGATTAATTATAGGTGGATTGCCGGACAATATGCAAAGTAACCTAGAAAGCGATAATCCTTAGAAAGTCCTCAAGAGATTCAGTTACTGACCGACACATATGACTGTTACGAGAAATCAAAAGACATACAGCAACAAATAGGCAATTGCGCCGATGAAAAACATTAAATATTCAACATAGAATTAAAAAAAATACTTTCTTTATTTCTTTCTCATGTCGTTCTTTCTCAAATTCTTGTTTGTTTGCTTCTCTTTTATTTCTTTTTTCCGTTATCTTTATCTATATCTGACCATAAATACTGTTTCTTTTCTTAATATACCACGAAACAATAAGCGATAATGGCGACGAGAAAACTTAACTATTCAACAAGCGTAAAGGACTTTACACTACCTATAAAAAAACAGTGGAATAAAACACTTCTTTCTATATCATTCTATATATCTAAGATGAGTTGTTGTGACTATTTATACTACTTATATAGTTTGGTCTGTTATCCTTACTGCTATATTCACAAAGTTTCCAAAAAGTGACTTAACCGGAAGAGTTGTGAGCTCAATACGTGGTCACAACAGAGGGAAAAAATCTTGGAGTGTTGAGTTACTAAAGGGAATTAACTGATACCGAGATATCCAAAAGACGCATGACACGTTGAATTAGAACAATCTACCCCCGTTGATTAAATAAAGGGCATATATCACCTGAAGAATGTCGAAGCGTACAACGACCGAAACGTCGTAAATATGGAAAGAAAGATGAGGACAACGGTCCGAACTATGTAAGTAATGTAAATAAGTTTGTAGAGAGAATGAGGAAAAGCATAGCGTCTAAAAACGTTGGCTTCTACTGGCATTTCTGTAACGGGTACTAAATAAGTGAAATCGATTTGAGGTGTTATCATCCTCTTCCGATAAAGCCGAATGCTTTTCCTGTGAATTCTCCTCAAACTCTACTCTTATACCTGCCTAAATTAGAGACTGACTCTCTGTTGCGTGAGTGATATGCATATAACCCCTTCCATGGAATCTGCTATCGTCTCTAACCTTGAATCCCCCACAAAGCATGTGGACCCGATGGCATCTCTATAATAGTCATTAAGAAGTGTGCTCCCGAATTAGCTCTTGTTCTCTCTCAAATCTTAGTTATAAAACCCAGATTGTGTGTGTGTGTGTCTGTACGTTTATATATTGAATCGGATTTCCTACATTTTTCAACCGATTTCAACAAAACTTCACAGGACTACGTAAAATTACCTTGCAGTGGTTCTGACAGCGCCAAAAATTGGGAAAACACAATTGTTTTTGCACGGAATCAATTTGAAAACACGATTGAGGCATCACGAGAATGAAAAAGGGACAACTCATATCGCGTTATACTTATTATAAAACCAAGGTTGTGTGTTTGTTCGTTTATATATGGGATCGGATTTCCTACATTTTTCAACCGATTTCAACAAAACTTCACTTTTTTTTGGCAGGTAGTGTTTCTTATTGTCTTGCACACATTTTTCTTTATGTTTACATTCAGAATGCTTTAAAAATTCCATTTACAAGACAATTGTTTATAATAAAATTCTATTCAATCGATAGACTCCTGTTAATACCCTCTCTCCACCACCTTAACCAGGTATTGAACTCGCACTCTTTGGGTAATCATCAATATTATTAGTCCTGATCCTGTCACTGGATCTAACTAACGCGTTTATCCACTGTGCCATGTGCCTTTATCCATGTGCCATAAATTTATTATAAAACTAATATCTCCAGCAACATTTTTTACCGGTGATCATATTGCAATTTTTGATGTTATCACCGTATTTTTTTTTTACCAGAGCTAATATTGCAATTTTCGTTGTTTTTATTGCTTTTCTCTGGAACTCCTTATTATTGGTTCCGATATTGTATATATTTCTATGCTTGGAACAATGTAAATAGAGTTTGTCATACTCTAGATAAAATCTGTGAATCCCGTAGTATGAATTTAAGCGCATTTCTAGACTGGCGGTGAGATCTCATCAATTTACATTTTAGCTGGCTAAGAAGAAGAAGAAGGAGAAGAAGTGGAAAGAAGAAGAACAACAACAACAAACAAAAGAGTAAGAAGAAGAAGAACAACAACAACAACAAACAAAAGAGTAAGAAGAAGAAGAACAACAACAACAACAAACAATGATGTAAGAAGAAGAAGAAGTTGTGGAAAGAAGAAGAACAACAACAACAAACTATGGAGTAAGAAGAAGAAGAAGAAGAAGAAGAAGAAGAAGAAGAAGAAGAAGAAGAAGAAGTGAAAAGAAGAACAGCAACAACAAACAATGGAGTAAGAAGAAGAAGAAGAAGAAGAAGTTGAAGTTGTGGAAAGAACAACAACAACAACAAACAATGGAAGAAGAAGAAGAAGAAGAAGAAGAAGAAGTGAAAAGAAGAAGAACAGCAACAACAAACAATGGAGTAAGAAGAAGAAGAAGAAGAAGAAGAAGTTGAAGTTGTGGAAAGAACAACAACAACAACAAACAATGGAGGAAGAAGAAGAAGAAGAAGAAGAAGAAGAAGAAGAAGAACAACAACAACAACAACAACAATTCGCTTCATGCGAATTTCAACCTATTACGTTTTCCTGCCCATAAAAATGGAACCAGTACCTCAGAAAACTTTCAATAATACTTGTACACTTTGGGCTTAGAGTCTCACTGCCCGATACCCCTACGCCCAACTGATCGTAGAAAAAAGAAACTAAGCAACAATAAAATTAACAATAGGTGACTGCCAAAGCCACCATAATAACGACCTTTGAGCCAAAGAGGGAAAAAACCTAAGCCAGTCATTCGGGGTTGGGGCCATTTTGCCCGTCTTTCTGATTGCAGTCCATTTTGCCAAAGATAATACTTTATAGAAATCGAATAACACAAAATGGAAATATGAGAATCAGACATCGAAAGAAAAAAAACAAATTCAACTGTTTTGTATTATTTTTTCTGCTGACAGCATTCTTTTCAATTCTTATTTATCCCTGATTTTCATTTTCCAATCTTATTTCCTAGCTTGTTTGCTTATCTTTTCTTTTTTTTCCTTTGATACCTTCTTTCTTTGGTTAGACCTTTTTTTTTTCTTTTTAGCTGCCTCTTTTTTTCCTTCTCACTTTCTTCCTCTGTTATTCTCCCGTCGTTCCTACTTCCTGTCTTTATTCGTATTATTTTACTTTTCTTCGTTTGGGTCTGAGATTACATTCTTTCGACCTTTCACTGGCTTTCGTATCTTCTTTTTTTCTCTCATCATATTTATTCGTCTCTCTTCTTCTTAACTTGCTTCCTTTTATCTTTTTCTCTATTAAATTTCTTTCTTTCTTTCTTTCTTTGTTCTGTTTTTTTTTTCTGGTTGTCTCCTTTTCCATTCATTCTATTTTAAGTATGTGTTTAGCTTCTTTTTACCTTTTCTTTCTTCGTTAATTTTGTTCTACTTTCTGTTTTTCCTCTTTGTATGCATTTTCATTCTTTCTTCATTTATCTTATACTTTCTTTTCTCCTTTACTTTCTCCACCCCGACACTTCTTCCGTTCTCTCTCTTTTCCGCCTATTTCCTTTTCTTATTTTTTTTCTTTATTCAGTTTTTAAGGATTTATGTTTTCTTTTTCTACTTTATTCTTTTTCTTTCGTCATCGATTTGATTCTTCTTCATTTTCTCTTTCATCTTTCTTTGTTTATTTCTTGATCTTTTCCTTTGTCACCGTTTTTATTATTTGCCTTTTTTCTTTTATGTCTACTTTTTTTTATTTTATCCTTCTTTTTTTTCTAATTTATTTTATTCTTCCTCGTCTTCATTATTTTTTTTCCTTCGCCTTTCTTCAGCTATATTCCGATTGTTTTTCTTCTTTTTTTTCTTCTTCTTCCCCATTCTTTCTGTTATGGGACCTTATCCATAATAACATAATGGACTATTCCATACGCAATAAATACTGCGCCTCAAGAGGAAGCAGGGAGTTCAGCCCGAAGTCGGGCGACTGGCTGACCGGCTGATCGGTTGAACTCTCTGCCTTTGGGCGGGGAGGAACCCGAACGAGGCTACGCCGAAGGGCGGAGTCTCTTTTGGGGAGGTAAACCGACCCTGAACCCGTTTATACGGGTTTTAAAAGGGCATATTTTTGGCCAACCCCACGGGCTGGGAGATCCCACGTTAAACCGGCCTTGTGCCACATGAAGCCCTCATGGGGTGGGGTGACTAAATACTGTTCAGTCCGAAGTCGGACGACCGGCTGACCAGCTGCCCTGCTGATCGTTTGAACTCTCTGCCTTCGGACGGGGAGGAACCCGAACGAGGCTACGTCGAAGGGCGGAGTCTCTTTCGGGTAGGTAAACCTACCCTGAACCCGTTTATACAGGTTCGAAGGGCATATTTTTGGCCGAGCCGACGGGCTCGGAGATCTCACGTTAAACCGGCCTTGTGTCACATGAGGCCTTCGTGGGGGGGGGGTAACTAAATACTGTTCAGTCTGAAGTCTGGAGTGAAGTCCGTCAGGAGTCTGTCAGTCAGTCAGAGCGAGCGAGTCAGTCAGTCGTCATAGGCAGTCGCGTTCAGACAATTACTACTAAACCTGATTGTTCGTACTAACGCTTTATACTTCTCAATATATATTCCTGTTTGTAATATATCTGTGTTATTCCATATACGTGTTGAGTTTTTCTTTATTGGTTCTACCTTGGACTATCACCGTGATACAAGGAACCGGACCATAACACTTTCTTTCTTTTCTTTTCTTTTTTTTTTCTTTCTTTCTTTCTTCTCCTATGTTATTTTGTCATCATCTTTCTCTTTGCGTTTCATTGTTCTGTACTATCCTTTTTTCCCCTCCTAGATTTCTTTCTTTCTTTCTTTCTTTCTTTCTTTCTCCTTGTCCTGTATCAATCTTTCTCTTTTTTTTTCTTTCTTTCTTTCTTTCTTTCTTTCTTTCTTTCTTTCTTTCTCCTTGTCCTGTATCAATCTTTCTCTTTTTTTCTCTTTCTTTCTTTCTTTCTTTCTTTCTTTCTTTCTTTCTTTCTTCCTTTCATCTACAGGAGTTTTTTTTTTCTCTTCCTTTTCTCGACTTCTTCTAAATATCATACCATTTCCCTTCTTTGCATTTCATCTTCAATTCCTGATTCATCCTCCTCCAATCTCTCTTCATCTTATCAACCTTTCGACCATTTTTCATAGAACTGCTCCTTCACCCAGTACATACTGTGTTTTTTGGGGGCGTTTTCTTTTTTTCACTTCATTATTCTTGTTAGCATATTATGCACGAAAAAATGTCCAATTTTCTTTCCTAAATTTTGCCCCAATCCCTAAATACTGCATTCTGACTTCATCCTAATAATTCATCTTCATACATATTTATCGACATTTTTTTTCCTGAATATATTTCTTTGGCATCGTAAATGGTTAATTTTTCGTCTGCGTACTAATTTCCTTACACGTCAACTTTTGTGCAAATAAGAATTGAGGCCCAATATATATATATATATATATATATATATATATATATATATATATATATGTGTGTGTGTGTGTGTGTGTGTGTGTGTGACGAAATCTTCGAACAAACATTTTCGTATTTTATTGCCATGGAGTTTTTTGTTTTTTTTTTTAATCTTAAAGACTAAGTAAACAATTATTCTAACCGGAATCGCATGGTTTGAATTTTAGAAGTATCTTTGACAAAACTGATTGTCAACTAAGGTGATTTATTAACCAAACGATGAAGACTACAGTTCCAAACAAGCAAACAGCCCAAAATAGAAGCTTACTTGATCGTGGATAAATTAGTACACGAGCAGTCAAATGGATCCGAGTAGGACTGCGATTTCTACAACAATAGGTGAGGCTGGTTCGAATCCTTCTGTGAAGAACGTATGTTTTAATAAGTATTTTCTAATGTACAGGCCGGTAGACATAATAAATAATTTAATAAGTAAAAAGCAGCGTTTCCTCAAATACGGATATCCACTAAAATTAACGTTTGAAGTTAGAAAAATGACGGATTACAAATAACATTCCTAAATTCTTTATATATATATATATATATATATATATATATATATATATATGGTAATACACGGTTGGAAAACTTCAGATAGAAGTAATAGAACAAATCGGTACCCGAGGAAAAATGGGAAATAAAAAAGAAAGAATCAAGAGCATTAACACAATACGAAATCAATCGTCAAGGGCTTAAACTCCAATTCTAAAGAAAAAAAAAGAAACAAATGAGTAGAAAGACTAAAACGTAGAGTGCTCAATACGCTCATTAGAGCGATAAACTAGAATGAATCCGAAGGAGACAGGCAAACCTACCTAGGTTTTACCTAAACGGATCTTAGGGTAAAACCAGTTTTACCCTGATGATCTGTTTACGTGAAAATTAGGTAGGTTTGCCTGGCTCATTAGGATTATTCTATATTATTCTGTTATATAAATAATCAAAGAGGCTCCTAATAATATAAGATATTAAAGCTGATCCACAAAAAGAGTTTTATTATAACAGAGCATATAAATTCACAGCAGGGAAAAAAATTACCTCATGGGTATAGTCTATTTCAACCGAGGCCGAGTGCGTCAGTCTGGGTTGAATAAACTGATGTACTCGGTGTCGGTTGAAATAGACTATACCCTTTGAAATACTTTTCAATTTCTCTGTTGTGCAATATATATATATATATATATATATATATATATATATATATATACGTGTGTTTTGGGTTGTTACAAAATATTGATGAGGCACTTCACCGAAAACAGATGCATCACAATAACGATAATGCTTTAACAGATATTATAAAAGATGAACCAGTCCAGTAATAATTAAAATATTTATTTATACCGAAAAAGCAAAACGAAAAAAAAAAACAACAACCAGTATTAACATCAGGAAAAATGGCTCGCATAGAGATCAAAATTATATCAAACAAACATTATTTATAAATTTAAATATCTCATTAAGAACTGATTTGCCGACAAAAAAAAAAATTCATAATGAATTATGTCGGACTTATGTTACTACTACAAAAACAAACAAACAAAAAAACAACAAACCTTAATAACAACTGTCTTGAACACTGCCATGATCTACTGGCAGTATTTGGAAATTTACTTTCCACCAACTTTAAACTGTGTACAATAACACTTACATACCGTTTATTTTAGTAATATAAGTAAAAACCTTGATAATACTTAATGGCATAGTTGAAAGTGCATTGAATAAAAGAATAAAAGAACAATTAGTACTTTCAGTAAAACCGGAAGAAGAAAAAACATTTTCGCATACAAGAAATATAGAATATATCTTAATATGTACGAATGGGGGATTGCATATCACATACACAATTATATATATATATAAAACCATCAATCTACCTAAGATACGTTGATGATATTCTTATGTTAGTTGAAAATACAGATGAAATAATTCAACTTCAAAAACGTTTCCAAAATAATTCTGTCCTTAAATTCACATATGAACTCAATACTAATAATAAAATCCCCTTCCTTGACATATTGATAAACACAAATAATAACAAATTTACTATTTCGCCATACAAAAAAACCTACAAGCATAAATTCATGTACACTTAGCTACAAGAGCGAATGCCCATATTACTATAAAATAGCAATTATAAAGAATCTAATACATCGTGCAGAGACTAATTCATCCACAAAACAGATTTTTTTACAGTGAACTAAAGAATATAAAACAGACACTTATTAATAATAGCTTTCCAAACTATATAGTTGATGAACAAATAAGATCATCACTGTCTTGTCCGTATATTGCTTAATATGTTGTAAGTGACATCTTTGATAATGGCTTCTGTAAGCCGAAAGCTTAGATTGTATTAAAAAATATGGATCAATATTGTGATTTTCTTTCTTCGTTCAATGATAATGTTATTAAACTTAAAAGACGTTATGAAAAGAATTTACATAAAATAAATAGACAACACTTTTGTATATTATTTAATGAAACGTGTATGAATGAATAGATGCTGCCTAAATACACACAATATATATATATATATATATATATATATATATATATATATATATATATATATGTATGTATGTATATCGAAAGTCTCATAAGACGGATGAGATGGAAGACATACTTCTTCCTCAACGACCCAAAAAACGAAATAACTGAAAACCCGAAACATTTCCCTTCAATACAAGGAAATGCCCACCAAAATATAAAAGAAATGCTAAAATTCGAGGATGATATGAGAAATATAGTCAGAAACTTGAAATTCCAAAAACACTTGGACAATTTCCAGAAGAAAATTATGGAAGACAAGAAAAAATAACGAACTCCAATAAGGTTTCCATATTGGCTGACAAGACAACGGAGCCCGCAGCCCACAATAAATTCATAACTATCAACATCACACAAGTAAACAAGTAGACAGCCGCGAACACAAAAAACATGATAAACCAAGCAGCTAAAGATGTAGCCGTCAAATTTAAAATAGATGAAAGAATAAACCGCATAGCGGAGCAACAGGCTTTCATGACAGCAAAAGACCACAAAATCAAGTTCGTGAAAAAATCCACATTCCGCCTAATCAACCCTGCGAAAAGCGAAATAGGAAAAATCAGCAAAAACATATTAGAAAGTATCAACACCAAGCTAAGGGGAAAATTAGGTCTTTACCAATGGGAAAGCACCAAAGCTGCCATAGACTTGT